TCCTGCCCCCAGACCAACCCCTAACACTCCATCCACGAGACCCCTCAGCGGTGGTTCCACCTGCTCCACACCCTCTTCTCCCATGCCGTGCACCAGCTCCTCTCCACGGTTCCCAAAGTGTGCAAGGTTCCCATAGTGGCTTCCCTGCTCTGCCATCCCTGAGCTCTGCCCTCGGCTGCAAAGCAGAAGGGTAAGGAAGGAAGGGTGAAAGCCAGCAGGGCCTGCAGGGAGCTTGAAGGGAACCAGAGATGGTCCCTGCCTCCTAGCAGCTGTCCCCATCCCCACTGCATTCCCATCTGCTCTGATCTGCTCAAGGATGGCCACAGTCTGGCTTGGCTGGAAAATCAGGTTGTGCTCAGGAGCAGTTCATGGTCTGGCATGTGGGATATTGGACACCTTCTTGCTGGTCGAGGTGAAACCTCTTCCCTCACCCAATTTCTCTGCTCCCCCTCAGCACATTTCAGCCACAGCAACCTGCTTTTGGCCACAGCTCCTAGGGGAGCAGTGGCCAGGGCAAGCTGTTCTCTTCCCTAACTGGGACCAGGGCTGAGCACCAGCCTCTGTGTCCCTTTGGGAAGTCTTGAGGAAGACAAAACATGCTCTAATGCTGAGACTTGAAGGGTGCCCAAGATATTTTAATGAGAACTGTGTGCCTGTTCAACTTGGGACCACCTGATGGGAAAAGTCTTCCAAAAGACCCCAGGGTAAAAGTGTTAGGCAGTCTTGGAGGAAAATACTCTTTTTCTTCAGCTCTTGTCATGGCTTGCCACAGCCATAAAATCCAGGCACCTCCAAAGATAATAAAATAAACAAATCATCTGTTTTTCCTGCCTCTTGCTGGGAGGCTCTGCTAGGGTGGCTCAGTATGGGCTTGGAGGTCACCGTAGGTGTTACCCCAAGTGTGTGCTGGCTGTGCACTGATGTTGGTGTATGTGTGTGCATTGCTCCAGCCTTGCTCTCTTTCCAGTCCTGGCTCTTCATCCCACTGCCCCACAGATTTCATGAGAGGCTGCAGGATCTGGTCCCCCCGTCTGTGCCCACACACCCCTGCCTCCTCCTCCTCCTCCTCCTCCTCCTCCTCCTCCTCCTCCTCCTCCTCCTCCTCCTTCTCCTCCTCCTCCTCCTCTTTCACAAGGTACCCACACAGCTGAGGGACCTCAAGGGACAAAGGGGAATGGCTCCACAGTGACAGAGGGAAGGGTTAGAGTATATTTCAGGAGGGCATTCTCCCCTGTGAGGGAGGTGAGGCCCTGGCACAGGGTACCCAGAGCAGCTGTGGCTGCCCCATCCCTGGAAGTGTCCAAGGCCAGGTTGGATGGTGCTTGGAGCAACCTGGGAGAGTGGAAGGTGTCCCTGGCCATGGCAGAGGGAGGAGGCCGTGGTGGTCTATAAATTCCCTTCCAAACCCTTTTCTGACTTTACAGTCCACAGACCCTGCCTCTGCCCCACGCTCCTGCCTGGTGTGCCACCCACTCCGCAGTGGGGTGGCAGCGATGGGCACTGGGGACACCGGGGGCACAGAGGCGAGGCAGACAAGTTCCCTGCTGCTGTTGGAGCTGGTTAAACATTGTCCCAGGCCAGTTAGGTAACACAAACTGCAGCGGGAAAGAAATGAAACTGCTTGAGCAAACAAGGCGCGCTTGGCAGGGCACCAGGCTGCGTGACAAAGTGCTCCCCTCTCACTGCCAGCCTGCTGGGGTTATCTATTTACGGAGAATAAACACCTCGCCCACAACCCCAAACTTGAGGGACAGCGGCCAGGAGCACAGGCAGCTCCTGTGAGACCCAGCCTGGGGCTGGGCTTGCTCCACTCGCCGTGTTGGTGTCTGCTCACAGACACGCTGATGGCCAGAGGGCACTGGCCTGTCCCCTCCCGGGTGTGCCAGTGCCCCTCCTGCCACCCCTGAGCCTGCTCTCCGCAGGAGCTCCAGGAGGTCAGGGATGGACCTGGGGCACCCTCCACTCACTGAAGCCAGCAGACACCAGCCAGGAAAACCTGTTCCCTGGGGAGGATTATGCAAGGAACCTGGCGGAGGTCTGGCTGCAGCCCAGACCAGGGCCCGGCTCCAGGTTCACACCCAGGGACTGGGACCTCTTCTTGCACCACAGGGCAGCCCTGATCTCCTCATCCCAGCGTGTGTCTGGGAGCAAGACAACTTCAGCCCAGCATACTGGAAGGCAAGGAAAAGAGGTTTTCCCTATGACACCAGGCATCCCAGGTGGACCAGCAGGGCAACTCCATATATAAACAGCAGTGGAACCCACAAAAAAGATGTGTCTGGCCCATGGGCACCTTCTGCCCCTGCAAAGCAGGTGGGTCATGCCCTTGATGTTGCTGCAGCCTCTCTAGGAGGGTTCGAGCCACCAACCTCACACTCAAGCTGAGGCCAGGCAGACCTGGAGCAATTCCAGCTGCTTCAGCCAGCACAGCTCAGGGGGACAGCCCAGGTGTCTGCTGGAGACCTTGCTTTGAAGGGCTTCCTGCTCTCCTTTGCAATGTGTCCCAGTCCTGCGAGTGCTGGGTGGGGGATGTGGAACAGCACCACGTCTCTGGCAGTAATGAAGGGCAGTAGGGGAACATGGGCAGGTGGGAGAGGGAGAATGGTTTTAAATGAATAGAGGAGAGATTAAATTAGATATTAGGAAAAAATTCTCTATGGGTGTGGTAAGATCCTGGCACAGGTGGCCCAGAGAAGCTGTGGTTGCCCCATCCCTGGAAGTGTTCAAGGGCAGGCTGGACAGGGCTTGCAGCAACCTGGGCTAGTGGAAAGTGTCCCTGCCCATGGCAGGGGTGTGGAATGAGCTGAGCTTTATGTCCCCTACCAACCCAAACTGTTCTAAGATTCTATGATTCTATGATAATGGCTGGATCCCCCTGCCAAAAATGCATCTCAGGCTTTGCAAAGCACCTTTACTAGGCAGCAAAACCTCCCCTCACCCTCCTGCTGGTGCTCTGGCTTCTTTCTTTAGTCCCTCCAGGCAGTGGCTGAAACCATTCAGAAGGATGTGGCATCCCAGACCTTGTCCAGCTCCAAGCTCAGAGCCCAGGGCTTTTCTCTTTGGGGGTGAGCAGGAACTGAGCAGTGCCCTGTGTGCCCCATTCAGCAGGTTCTGGGCACCAGCAGAAGGTCAGGGTGGCACAGAGACCCTCTGGTGCCACTCACTGTGAAATGCAGCGTGTGCCAGCCAGGGGCCACTGCTGCTGGCCACATCCATGGTGGAAACACACCGGAGAGTCTGCTTGGCCTCCAGCACCCTGAACTCCTTCTTGCCACCCCAAGACAGATCCTGTGGGTTGGAGAGATCCTCTCAGCACCCCTGAGACAACCTCCTGGCTTCCTCACAGCTGGGCTGGATGGGGAGGCAAGAAGGGGAACGTGATGTGTTCGAGCTGCTCACACTGCCGGGTCACTGCAGTCCCCCCTCCCAAGATGTGGTCCTTGTGCCCCACAGGTCCTGGAAGAGGCCAGAAAACAGCCAGGCTGGGAGAGGAGCAAGTATTCATCATCCTGTAATGCCTGTGCTGCTCCGTGGCTTTCCCTCCGTGTCTCCCTGGCCAGGGAGAGGCTAAAGGTCCTCCCACAGGATATTTATGTGGAGGGTGTTGGAGATACCGTCCCCAGATCAGCCAGGGCTTTGCTTCCCCCCAGCCTGCAGCTGGTGAACGCTGGCTTGGAGCCAGTGCTCCAGGAAAGGCTCTGGAACTCCAGGCCAGGGCTGGAATTCCAGAGGGATCTCAGAAGGGCCAAGGTTTGGGAGTGGCTGTAAAGATGCCCCTCCATGGGTGGCTTTGAGCCAGTCTGGGACAAACCCACCTTACCCTGAGGTGGGCAGCTTCCAGATACAGCTGCAGACAAGGTTTCCTGTCAAGGACAGTCCTGTGACTCTGTGCCAGGATGACCAGGACAGTTTCCTGTCAAGGACAGTGACTCTGTGCCAGGATGACCAGGCAGGAGATGGTGGCAGACAAGGTTCCTGCCATGGGACATCCCAAGTAACATGAGCCTGGTCCTCACTGTGTTTTTAAGAAAAACAACAAAAAAATCACAGATAGGTACAAAACCCCAACAAATGAACAATTTATTAATCTTATATTCCCACTCGAAAAAGAGAAAACCACATGCACCTGGTGGGTGCCTGGCTGGGTTGGTGTCCTCTTCTGTGGCTGGCACAGCACCAGTCTGTGCCCTGTGACATCACTTCAGTCCAGCTGAGCATCACCACCTGCCACCACACACCTGTGTGCCCCACAGCACACGCTCTCACACAGGAACATCTTACTCATGAAAAAATATATCTGTACATTCACTCTGCACTTCTTTTGGGTCTTACATAAATTAGAAGCTACTTTTGGAGAAAAGGCCTGTCTCTAGACACAGGCTGGGCTGGAAATGCAGCATGGCCCTGCTGTCCCACATCCTCTTCTCACTCACTGAGGGCTTTCTGGGGCCAGGTGAAGCTCCACAATGTTCCCATCTTCTCTCAGCAGGTGCCACACTGAGAAGCTGCTACACAAAGGGGGTCTCACCCAACCCACATGCAGTGAAGAGGACATGGGGCACCTTTGGCACGGTGCAAGCAGCAAGAAGGAGGACCCCACAGCTGGGACAGGCTCTGTTCAGTCACAGGTGACACGGATGTGCTGCCCCTCTGCCCAGGCAGGAGGTGGATGACAGCAGGAGACCTGCTGGGCTCTCACAGTGGGGCTTGAAATTCTCTTCCCCGTTGCATCTGTTCAGGCTTTGAAACAGCCCCAGTCCCCACGGCTCCAACTGGAGGTACGGATCCAGCAAGGGAAGTCACAGTTTGCAATAACCTACTGGAGCCAAAATACTGGCTCTGAACACCTCGGTGCTGGCAGTCACCTGCACACGCGAGCGTGCCCACGCGAGGGTCGGAATTCCACGCGCTGCATGGGCCAGCAGCTTCCAGATGCAGCTGCAGGCAAAGTTTCCTGTCAAGGAGCCCAGCTCAGGGCTGGCCTGAGGGGCTGATCAGACCCTGGCTCATCCAGGACTCCTACAGCTCCTTGTTCCTGTTGAGCACCTCCTCTTCCTTCCAGCCGCTGGAGTTCTTCCCAAACTTGTACACCAGCCGTCGTCCATCGACTCTCTCCAGGATCTCTCGTTTGTAGTAGTATCTGTGAGAGACAGAGGTGCAATCAGAGCTCTGGGGAGCTGCTGGAGGGCCCAGGCTGAGCCCCATGGGGCCGAGTCCCCCCAGGACGGGGTAGGGCACTTACCGCATGGCTCTGCTCAGCTTCTCGTAGGTCATGCTGCTGTTTTTCTTCTTCTGGCCCCAGAGCTGAGCCACCGCTTCCGAGCGCAGGAACTTGAAGACCCCCTCCCGCCGGTCCTCCCACTTCATCAGCCCCTCGTTGAGCTCAGGGTGGATCAGGATGTCCCGGATGAACTCCCACAGGTGGGTACCTCTTGGGGCTGAAAGAGGACATTGAGCTGTAGAGGAGGGAAGCTCCTGCAGGTCCTTGAACCTTTGGATCACCCTAAACCCCCCTGCCAAAGCCCTTCCTCCCTTCATTCCCCATGAAGCCAAGAAGGCAAGATGGGGAGGCAGTGTGGGCTGAAGGGTTCACGTACAGTGCTTGCTCTTCCTGTTCTCCAGGCAGTCTCTGCTCTCCTTGCTGAGTTTTCGGGGCCGTCCCCGTTTCCGCTTGCCGTGTTTGCTGTCCCCTTTTTTGCTGCCTGGAAAGTGGTCTGTGCACACAGAGAGGGGCACATGTCAGGCTGGGCAGCACATGCCAGACTGCAGCCCCCTCCTTGTCCTCCCAGGGACCAGGAGCACCCTCTTTTCAGGCCCAGATACCAGGGAAATATCCCCAGAGAGCAAAGTCACTCCATTCCCTCCAGCCTCATCCCACCCTCATCCCCAGCACTATGCTTAGGGCAGCATGTGCTCCTTCCCCAAACCCCACTGCTTCCTTGCATTCCTGGTGTTCCCAGTGTCATCACCAGCTGGGATCAATACCAAACACTGACTTCTGTGCCCAGGATTCCTGGCTGCAATCTTCACCCATCTGCCACCACCCACCCCTTCCCACCAGGATCACCAGTGCCCTGCCCATCATGCTGCTCAACGGAGAGAAGCAGAAGCAGGACACTCAGGGAAACAGGCCTTTCCCTCCTCCTCACTCTGAGGATGGGTGTTCAGGTGTTGTCCCTAAACCATTGCAGGTAGGAAGTGCACAACTGCCCGGGAGCCAGCCCTCCCCTCCCAGCTCCTGTCTGGAAGGAAGCAGCTCACCATCAGGAAAGAGCTTTGATTCTGCAGGGTCGAGGTCGAGGTCACTTCCACCGGAGTCCTGAGAGTTGGGGCTATGGGACATCACAGGCCCTGAGAGGCAAAGGATCAGGGTTCAGGCCTCTGAGCATCTGGAGGTTTTCCCCTGGTTCCCACCCTTCCCCTGCCACCAGACTGCTGCAAACCCACCCTTGTCAAAACACTGACCTGAGACATCAGAGCTGCCTGGGGACATGGAACCCGGCAAGTAGGTGAAGTCTGTGAAAGGGTTTGTGGGCTTTAAGTCCTCCAGGGAGTCCTTGGCACAGGAATTTCCCAGCTCTGGAAGGGGCAGAAGGGAAGAAGGGGTTAGCCTTGCTGTCATCAGTATGTGATCCCTGGGGAAAAGGCTTGGCCAGGGCCCCTCTCTTACCCAGCTGGCTGGAGTTGAGGAAGGTCTGGGAAGTCGCATCCTCTTTTTCTAGCAAATCAATGATCCAATTCAGCTCATCAGAGGCTACAGGGGTGAAGGACTGGGGTTAGCAATTCCTATTCCATATGAAGGGGAATAGTGCATACTGGGAGCTGAGCCCAGCCATGCTGGGACTCCGGTCTGTGCCCCCACACCCTCCCACGCTGCCTCTGCAGTGCCCGGGAAGCACCAGCCTCCTGGGCTAGTGGAGGGCTCTCAGACTCATTCTTCAGCTGCTGGGCCTGCAGATGCAGGAGACCCTGCTGCACTCACTGATCTCATGCAGGCGGTCGTAGAGCTCATCCCCCAAGGGCCCGAAGATGAGGCGCATCTGGTCCCTGCTGCAGTGGCACAGCGTGTGCCCGTCCATGTTGCAGCAGGAGAAGTCGATGGAGCTGGCATCGTACTTGTTCTTCTCCACGTGGTAGCTGATCCACTCCAGCACCTGCACCTTGGTCCAGAAGTACGGGAGCTCACTGAACCACTGGGGCTTGTCTGCAAGGGATGGAGAGCAGGGCTCAGAGCAGGGTGGCTGTACCAGCACCATGTGCCTCGTGTGGGCTGCCCGTGCCCACTGGACACCTGATGTGGTCCCGTGGCGATCCTACAGGACACACAGGTCCTGCCCTTGAAGGGCTGTGGGACTAAAGGGTCCTTAGTGCCCTGCCCTGCAGACCCCACACTTCCCCCACCGCTGTTTTCGGTGCCATTTGTCCTGTTTGTGCTGTGATCGCCCCTGCTCTGCTGGTGTGTTTCTCAGGGTGTCTCCCTGAGCACCATCACATGGGCCCCATCACCAGGATTGTACTTCCAAGCTGCTCCTGGTGAGCCCTGGCAGCCTGTCCCCTGTGCTGTGGGAGGGGGACAGTGATTCCCCCATCTCCTGTATAAATCAGATGTGCTCCCAGCAGCCATACGTCTGCCACCCAGGGTGTCCTCCCACAGCCTTTCCCTGGGGAAACTGAGGCACGGTGGAAGCTGCTGACCTGTCCCTGTGGGACAAGGACCTTGCAGTGCTGTTCCCAGCCAGCGGCACTGCCTCACACTGCCCCTGGTGCCGTCTCCCCAGTGCCACCACTGCCACTCCCCTGCTCCTACCTGTGCTCTGTGCTGGGGGCTGGCTGGCCGGGAGGCTGAGCCCCAGGTTGCTGTCATCCCCAAACTGCCCCAGCATGTCCAAGGCTGGCTGCACCTCGTCGGGCTGGTACATGGCGCTGATGTAGTTAGAGAAGATGTTGCTGATCTCACAAGATCCTGCCATGGAGCTCTGTGCCGAGAGATGACAGTGAGCCCAGGCCCCCAGCACCTGCAGCACCGCGAGTCGGGCTGGGCGAGGTCGGGCTGGCTCTCCCTCCACCCATCGTCACCTCTGGGTCACTTCTGCAGAAATATGCACCAGCACCTGCCGGCTGGGGCTGGGCCTGACTCACCAGCTCTGGGGCCAGCGCAGAGGAGCTGAGCCGGAGCGAGCTGGGGACGTGGAGTCACTGCCCTGTCCCCAGCAGCCCGGCCTCGCCCGGCTGCCAGCCGGAGGAGGTGACAGCCAGGGGCGGCTGGCAGAGAGCAGAGAGCAGTGCCCCAGCCCCTCCGTGGGTGCGGGTTTGGGCACTCGGCCCCTCCTGAGCCCCCTGCCCACGGCTGTGCCACGGCTCCAGTCCTGTCCACCGCTCGCAATGAGCACGTCCCTATCACCGAGCCCCTGCCCGGCGCTCACAAAAAGCCAAATGGCGCTGTCCATTGCCAAGCCCGGGGCCGCAGGGCAGCTGCTGTCCATTGCCAAGCCCGGGGCCGCAGGGCAGCTGCTGTCCATTGCCAAGCCCGGGGCCGCAGGGCAGCTGCTGGCCCCGCAGGGCTGCCAGAGCCAAGGTGGAGCTTGGAGAGGCCAGAGCGCATCCCCACCGGGAGCCCAGGTGCGGGGAGCAGAGCAAAGCAGCTGTCCTGGCCTCGGGCACGTCACCAGGCCTCGCAAAAAAGCTTTGGTACCTTCTGTGGTGGCAACTCCAGCAGCTGCGGGTAATCCAGAGAGGAGCGAGGGCAGACGGAGCCCGGGCTGGCCGCTCGCCGCTGCTGCGGGCCCGGGAGGCTGGTGCCGATGGGCAAGCCCTGCCCGTGCCTCTGCTTTTATAGCTTGGGCGGCGTAACAATCTGGCAGCCCGAGGGGAATTCCAGCCCCAAACGTTCATGCTCCCAGATCCAGGTGATTTGCATAATATGAACCACCGGGTCCCAGCCCTGCGCTGCCTTGCCGGGAAATCTGGGCTGGCCAGTTTAATCATTGCCAGAGCCCGTGCCCCACCGGTGCCCAGAGTTTCACCCACACTGCCTTCACGGGCTGTTTTCTTGCCAAGCTCGTGTTTGTTTGCTCACAGCAGCAGGTTCACTCTGCTCCTGCAGCCAAAACCACCCGTGGGGTCGGGGTGGCTCTGGGGCCTGTGGATCCCTACCTGGGGTTTGCTGGGAGGCAGGACATGGGGCACACAGCTGGCCAGGTGGGCAGCACAGCCCTGGCAGCCAGCAGGGTGTGCGTGGGTGCCCTGGCCGTGCCTGGAGCACAGGCTTGGGTGGCACGGGCACAGATTTCCCAGAGCTGGAAGAGGGTCTCAGTGACCAAGCAGGACAAATGCTGGGCACGGGGCACGTGCTGGGAGCAGGGCTCAGGTGGGACACGTGGGCTTCGTGGGGGTGCAGCAGAAACCAGGCAAGTGCCTGAGCATTGCTGCTCTGCCAGTCAGAAGGGGTTGATTTTTGCCTGGGGGAGGTCTGGGGCAGGCTGCAGAGCTGTGACAGCCAAGTCACACACACCTGGCACCTGCAGGCGTGCACACTCACCAGGGACGTGCCAAGGGACGAGGCAGGGTCGTGGGATGCATTTGGGGAAGTACCTTTGGTGGCTCTTGCCTCTCTGGCCTTGGGCAGGGGTACCTGGGGCCCTTTGAGGTTTATTCCTGCTGGGTTTAGCCCTGGGCTGTCCCAGCCAAAGCTGGGGCACCCCCTCTGCCTGGTCCTGGTTCTTTGCCGAGCCAGCCACATCCACACCATGTGCAGACTGAGGCAGTCCCAGGCACCTGGGAGCAGAGCAGACCCTGGCATCACACAGCTGCCACCTTGGCACTTCAGGGTCCTTATCACTCCAAACCTGGCAGCAAACCATCTCCTGTGACACTGTGCTCACAGGCTGTTGCCAGCACGGATACTCCAGCTTGGCACATGGACCAACAAGGGCAGGGTGGCCCTTGTCCTGTCCCCTGTGTCACATCCCCCAGGCCCTGGGGCAGCCAGGAGGCACCGGGTCCCACCAGCTGATCACTCACCCCAGCTTCATTCCTCCTCAGCAGAGTGCTGGGTGCTGCCAGGCCCTTCTGTGTCCTGGGCAGAGCTCACAGGGACCCCCCCTGCCAGGGAGCAGCCACAGGGCAAGCCAGGGCCACCAGGGCAAGCAGCCCCAGAGCCTGGCCATGCCTGCAGCCCGGGGAGCTGGCTGCCCCCTGGGCAAGGCTGCCAGTGCGTGTGGATGGAAAGCTGCCCCTGGGGAAGGTTTTTCCACCCACCACTACACTGCAGGTGTCCCTGGAGCAGGGTGGGATGTGCCAAAATTTCACCATCCCCTGGGCCACCAGCGGAGGGGTGAGAGGAGGTGGCCCTGTGTCATTTGGGAATCTCCTGCCCGAGCTGTGCACAGCCCACCCACCCACAGCTCTGCCCATGCCAGGGAGCCCAGGGGCTGCCTGGCAGGGCTGCCTGGCACAGACCACCCTGAGCACCCCCTGCCCAGGTGTCCCTTCCCTGCAGACTGGCCTCAGGGAGGCACCACAGCCAGTCCACACGCCCAGGCAGTGCCACCATGGCAGAGGGACACCCAGGGGTGACACCCTCAGCCTCCCATGAGTGCTTGGCACAGCAGGAGCCCTCGGTGTCCTCCCGTGACTCAGCCCCTTCCTTCCCCTGCCTTTGGGAATCAGGAGGCCAGTGCAGGAGCTATCCTCCCCAACCCCTGCAGGTACCCTCCAGTTTTCCTGCCTGCAGGAATGCCCTTCCAGCCCCTCGTCCACTGAGGTGCCACAGCCTGGGGAGGTCACCATGGGCAGCACTCCCTGGAGATGCTGCAACACTCTGCTGAGAGCTTGGGAGGGCACAAGCCTTTCCTCATGTGTGCCCATGTCCTCCCTAAAGCCCTGGGGCACAGCAAGGTGCAGAACGGTGCCCATGGGACTCTCCCCTACCCAGTAGCAGCCACAGCCCTGATGGGCTCAGAGCAATTCCCTCCTTCAGATGGGTGGCACGGGGCTGCCAGCATCTCATTGCCACAGCTGGCAGCTCCCAGGGCTGTGTCCCTGCTGTCCCCTTGCTGCTGGCCCAGTGCACCTTTAGGCATGTGGGGTGCATGGCACAGGTCGCTGCCAGGCAGGCTTGGCATGCTGCAGCAAGAAAGAGATGGCCATGAGTGTGACATGGTGCCGTGAGGACTGGCAGGAAGACGTGTCTGTGGTGCCACGAGTGGCTGGGGCAGCAGGGGGGAGCAGGAGCAATGTCCCCTGCCCTGCCAGGGGGAGTTGGGCCCGTGGCACCCCACGTTTGTAACCCAAGGCTGCACCACGGTGGCTGTTGGTCCGGGGGCTCATGCCAAGGTGACAGCCATGCCATAGCTGAGGGTGGCACAGGGCATGGTGCTGGGGGCTGGGACACCGCTGGGCACTGCCAGCCCCCAGAGACACCTCAGAGCTGGCCTGGCACCGCGGGACCAGCACTGCAGGCACCTTGAGAGCCGGGCTGCGGCCCCAGGGTGTCAGGGCAGGGGTGCCCAGGCAGGGGCAGGGGTGTGCGGGAGGGAGGCACCGCGCCCGGGCACTGCGGGCACCGAGGCTGGCAGCTCTCACGGCTCAACAGCGCTGCCGGCAAAAGGGCAAATGGAAGCTGCAGGGGCTGAGCTCCAGGTCGCTGTCCCCCTCCCCATTCTGGAGCCGCTGGCTGCCCAGCGCCGCTGCGTTCCGGCATCGCTCACCTCGGGGGCTCAGCACCGCACGGTGACACCGAGCCACGCATCGCCCACCGCGACACCCCCACCGGCAGGGCCCTGCCGGCGCCACCTGCCAGCATCTGCCCCAAAATCTCCTACCAGGGAGATCTACCTAGGCACTCCCCAACATCCCCCATCCCGCAGGACGCTGCACTGCACCCAGCATCTCCCCCAGCCCCGCAGGACCCGCACCCCCGGCAGGACCCGCACCCCCGGCAGGACCCCCACACCCCCAGCATCTCCCCCACCCCCGCAGGACCCCCGCACCCCCGGCCGGAATCCCGCCCCCGTCCCCCGCCCCGTGTCCCCTCCCGCTCTC